CATGATCGAATCCCCCTCCGGCAGGACGCTGGAAAAGGCCCCAAGATGGGATCTCATGGTTACAGAAGGTTGCGGTGGTGGAAAAGTGGTTTCGTGGCTCCCCCTGATGTTTTTAGGGTATAAGAGTATATATAGGCAAAGGAACTAGGTCAGGGGAGCTAAGAGGGCCCCACGAGGGTGGGGCGCGTGCCTACCCCCTGGGCGCACCCTCCTGCCTCGTGGTTGCCTCGTTGCCTCTCTGACTTCATCTCCAAGTCTTCTGGTTTGCTTTCGGTCCAAGAAAGATCATCGCGAAGGTTTCATTCCGTTTGGTATTCCTTTTCTATAAAACTCTAAAATAGGCCAAAAAACTGAAACTAACACTGGGCCCTCGGTTAATACGTTAGTCCCAAAAATAATATAAAATAGCATATTAATGCTCATTAAACATCCAAAACAGATAATATAATAGCATGGAACAATCAAAAATTATAGATACGTTGGGGACGTATCAACACTAAACTTGGAGCATCACTGAACTACTTTGACACTAAAACTTGGGGCATTACTAAACTACAAGAGTTACTGAAATGACATGGCAATATCATCCGCACTTAAATGTCACATATCCAGTTTATACACAACACATATCCACTTAAATGCCACTAGCATACACACTTAAAATGTTGTGCTACCTGAATTTGGAGCTAACTGAAGATCTGAGATCTACTAACCTTTCATGCACAATCCAGGAATCTCCTGCCACTATCCACAAAATCAAAGGCCACAAACTTCTCACAGACGGCTAGGTGTTCATATCTAGCAGCATGATCTTGAGCCAGGCCTCTCCATTCCAAGCAGAAAATGGTGGTTAGTTGCTAAAACAAAACCAGATCGACTCAATAAAATTCCCCATTTTGACTAACCCTAGTTGCCTGACATAGAGGGACAAACTCACCTGACTGGCGACGGAGTCGCTGTTCGACGAGGAGCTGGACCAGGAAACCATGTCAGCGAGCTGGACACCGACAACAAGGAGGAGAGCTGCGACCAGAGAGCAGAGAACCGATTAGGGAACGGGGGTAATCGGATTCCAACACAACAAGTTAGACACAATTAATTTAGTTGGGATGTTCTACAGGTTGAATTCAAGAAATGGCAGGGGTATCTGCAAAAAGTCCAGTGTTGACCGGCTCAATCCAACTGGCACCACTTGGATGCATGTGATTGGTGCAGGACTAAACTTGCACACCTTGAACAAGTTCTAGGACTGATCGGTGCACTTTTGCAAGTTCTAGGACTAAACCATCACATCTTGGACTAGTTCTAGGACCTCCGTGCTCTTAGAGCAACTCCAAGGCACCGACCCAAACAGTCGCACATTTTGTTTGTTTTTTGTCCATTTGGGTTGGCCGTCCGCTCATCGTCTGCCCCCTTCTGCGTTTGGGTCGGTCGTGCACCCAACACGTAGACACATTTTCGTCCTCGCGGCCGGCCTACCGTGTTTTCTCAAACATAATTCAAGCAAAATACAAACATCTTACCTAGTTTCACAACCAAACAAATATATCATAGTTTACAAGCGAGATAAATATATCATAGTCTGCAAGCAAAATAAAAATTAAATTGTCTCAAATACATTAAAAATAATACATCTATTGGTTGCCAACATGATCCCACATATACTCAACCAAATCATTATGCAGTTGAATGTGAGTTTCTCAATCACGCATTTGATGATGAAATTGGGTGAACTGTGCAAACATTGTCGCTCCTCCATGCTCAGGCACAACATTGTCACCCTGAAATTGAAACCCTTGTTCATAGATATGTTCTGGACGCTCATCCTGTACGATCATATTGTGCATGATCACACAAGCAGTCATCACCTCCCATAACTTCTTGGCGCTCCAAATTCTAGCAGGATATCGAACGACCTACCATCAAGATTGCAGAACACCAAAGGCACGCTCCACATCCTTCCTAGCACTCTCTTGCTCTTGGGCAAATCTCTTCCTCTTATCGCCTACATCGTTGGAGATCGTCTTCATCAGAGTAGTCCACTGAGGATAGATACCATCAGCTAGGTAGTATCCTTTATTGTAGTTGTGGCCATTAATGTTAACATTGACCTTCGGGCAGTTGCCTTCGGCAAGTCTTGTAAGAACCAGAGAAGCACGTTGATATCATTGTGAGATCTGGCCATGCCGAAGAAAGAGTGCCAAATCCAGAGATCTTGTGAAGCCACGACCTCAAGTATGACGGTGCAAGCTTTGACATGGCCCCTATACTGCCCCTGGCAAGCAGAAGGGCGGTTCTTCCACTCCCGATGCATATAATCTGTGCTACCAAGCATCCCCGGAAAGCCCCTGCTGGCATTCATCGCCAACAAGTTGGGTGTATCTGCAGCATTTAGCCCTCTCAAGTACTCAGGGCCAAACATTGCTATCACGGCCTTGCAGAACCTATATTAGACCCTAGGCACGTGGACTCGCTCATACGGACATACTCATCAATGAGAGCACCGAGAATTCCGTATGCAAGCATCCGAATAGTTGCAGTGCATTTCTGATAAGAGGAGAAGCCAATCTTTCGAAGGGCATCCTCCTTGCACTCAAAATACTTACCGTATGCCACCACCCCCTCCCAGATACGGTTGAAAACATGCCTAGCCATACGAAAATGACTCCGGAATAGGTGAGGTTTGAAGAGCGGGTTGGGTGTCTCGAAGTAGTCCTTCCAGAGTAGGAAATGGCCGCTCTCTCGGTTGTGATTCAACGCCACAGTGTGCCCCGGGATCGAGGCCCGGAACATCGGCCGCTGCCTACTATGGTGGTCATGGATGACCAACACAGCGGCCAGAAGCTTCTCATTGTCGGATGAAGAATCATCAGAGTCGCAAATGAAATTGTGGAAAAAGAACTTGGCAGTGGAGTCCATTTGTACCTTGCGGGCAAATCGTCGAACAACTTGCGGCCGTCGTCGAAGAAGCTGGCCGGTGAAGAGCCACACTCCTTCCCTGGACCAGGTAGCTGGCCTTGGCGGCATCAGATGAGCGAGGTCGCCGCGCTTTTGTCCGCTTCAGGCAAGGCGGGTGTCAAGGTGGTGCTGGCGGCGATGTTGGGGAAGCTGCGACGGTGCGGTGGTGGCGGTGACGTTGGAAGGTGGCGTGTTGCGGGGGAGGTATGTGGGCGCGGACGGTTGGCCAGGGCACCAAAACTGGGCGGCGCCGGCGACGGGGTGAGACGGTCGGGTGTGCTGGCTGTAAATGCGTGGAAGAAAATGGCCTATGTGCCACCGACTGACGTGCCAGGAGGAGAGTAGGCGGATGTCGCGTGCCCACGCCGACGGAAACTAGGCCCAAATTTAGGTCTGAAATGGGTTGTCCGGCGTACAAAAAGCAGACGCGTCTGTTTGGGTCGGTGCTTTGGGCCGACATTTTTGTCCGTTGCTACCCGAACAAAGATTAAATGGGTTGACGGGTTGGAGTTTCTCTTAGGGCATAAGCAATGGTCCCAGCCCATCCACCTAGGCAACCCAAATTATTTTGATTTTCTTCATCCAGCTAGAAAATATAAGCCGATGCCTCATGGTCGTCATCTCCTTGCTTTTTTTTTCTCTCCCTTTCCCATTGTGGTCATTTGCATTCTCCTTTTCCTCTACCTTTCCCTCTCTCTCCTTTCTTTTTCTTCTTTTGCTCATGAAGCACCCGGCTCCCCTGCAAGCTACCGTCCGAGGCTAGGACTGACACCCGAGCCTAGTTGGCATGCGGGGCACCCGGTTGAAGCCACCCGTTGGCCATGCTCTTATACTCCCTCCGTTCCAAAATAGATGACTCTAACTTTAATACAAAGTTGGTTCGTTTATTTTGGAACGGAGGAAGTACCTTGTAAAATAAAGTATATCCAGATGACTCTAACTTTCTATTTTGGAATGGAGGTGTTCATGGTCCTTTGTGTTTGCGATTCGTGATATGAATCGAAAAATTCTAAAAAAAATAAATATCCAGCCGACCGGGACTGTCCCGCGAGAGCGCTTCTCACCGCCGATAGGACAGGGACACTACCGTCATTTTGACCAGATGGGCAGGAAAATGGCGCGAAAGGCGTCACGCTCGCTTGAGGCCACGCCAAGTTCCCGCCAAATCCACCCGGGCGGTCCCCACCGCCTCCTCACTGGGCCGCACGACTAACGGCCGAGATGCCGCCTCGTGGCGCACCGAAGCACTCGTAAGCAGCAAATATCCGGTTTGAAAAGTCTACCAAACCAAGAAACGTGCCCATGCCCAGGTGTCTTTCTAGTTTCTACCACCATTTCCCCCCAATTTCTTGGCGAGCGACGGCGACACGGCGGCCGGCTATATTTATTTGATCTGCGCAACTTTGCCGAATTGACCTCTCACAATCGGCGGCCCTACACGCTTGGAAAATGCAAAGGAAAACATTCGCTTGCTACTACTGGGATCCTGTCAAGGTCACACTCCCACTTGGGCGTGAATTTGGAGCCAGTAAAGACGCAAAATCTTCACCACTTGGACGCCAGCTCGCGTAAACAACTCACAACGACGACGACCAAGGCGGAAAGGCTGTGTAACAACGACGACAACGACGACGACAAACACACGAGCTGACGACCACTTCACCACCACGACAACAATTACAGTTTACTCGTCATTACAGTAACGGGCATGCGGCCACTGTCGGCACTGCGACGCGACCGCACTGCTCCGTTTCCACGCCGGAGACGTGCGAGTTAAGGCGGATCACGCACAACGCCGGGGCGCCGGGGCCCCCCGCCTGAGATCACCTCCACCACCACCACCACCACAAGCAACACACCATTCACTCCTCTGCTCTGCTGCTACCGGAGTGTACGCAGTACTAGTAGATCTATAATTAATAAACGAAGTAATAATAATAGTAACAGTACTGAAACGCATCTCCCGCCACCGGCTCACGCATCTCCCGCCACTTCCCGCCCCGAGGGCGCGAAACGCCGCGACACGGGTAGGGGCAGGGGCGTCATATCACGCTGACGGCGCTCGCCGCCGGCGGCATCACGAAGTCCTCGCTCTCCCACCACGGCAGCTGCCAGTCGAACTCCGTCGCCTTCGGCTCGCTCTCCCACCACGGCTGCTGCCAGTCGAACTCCACCGCCTTGGATGGCGGAGCGGTCGAGGCCAGGTCGCAGAGCTCGCCGTACAGGTGGTCCACTGGGCGGGGCGCCTCGCCGGGCGCGCTACGGAGGACGGGGGTCAGGGACGAGGCGAACGGGTTGAACGAGTCGGCGTCGTCGTCCTCGGGCTCGGGCTCCGGGGGCGGCGACGGCGCGGATGGGGGAACGGTCGCGGTGGCCTCTGCTGCCGCTTCCCCGGTAGGACGGAGCTTCGCCGGCGGCGGGGAGCGGGGCTTGTTGGACGCGACGTAGTCGGAGTCGGAGCTGGAGCTGGACGAGAAGTTGGTGACGGCGTGGGATCCCTTGAGGCGCACGGCCGCGTCGTCGTACACGGCGGCAGCCTCCTCGGCGGTGTCGAAGGTGCCGAGCCACAGCCGCTTCTGCAGGCTCGGGTCACGGATCTCCGCGGCGTACTTGCCCCACGGCCGCTGCCGCACGCCACGGAACCGCCGGCGGTAGCCGCCGTCGCCGGCCTTCGCCGCCCGCCGCCGCAGCAGCAGAGCCCGTCTCCGTGGGATGGACGACGCCGGAGATGGCTGAGAGGAGGCCTTCACGCTGATGTCGATGACCTTCCGCACGCGCCGCTTGCCGCGCCTGACCTCTTCGTCCCCCGAGGACTCGGACTCGGTGGCGTCGGCGTCCACGAAGAAGACGCACACGCGCTTGGGCAGGGGAGCGAGAGATCCAGCGCGGCGGGTCCGGCCGGCGGCGAGGGAGTCGGCAGGAGACATCCCCATCTCCACCAGCGCTACTGAGATTCCACCACAAATCTCATCCAAGAAAGCCTCTTCCAATTTGGGGAAAACACAGGACGGAAAAGCTTCTCCAAACTTTCCCCTTGCAAATACTTGCCAGAACCAGCGAAGAAGGGCCGAGAAAAGGCTTGGGTGGGGGGGCTTGCAGCCTTTGCTGGGGTGCAGCGCTGAGATCTGCCGCTCCAAGTGAGCGAGCTCACACTCCAAGAAACGGGTCAAACAAGCAAAGGCGCCGCGCCAGGAATCCCCAGCGGGATACCTCGCAACCAG